AAAGAGTGGCTCGGAGGAGGTGGCGACATCAAGCCAAGGGGCGAGTCTCAGCCGTCCACGCAACACACACAGCACAAGTGATAGGAGCGGCCTGGCCACAACGCAAATTGGAAATTTTATAGGCTTCTCACCGCTTATTCTTTGCCCTAATGACGCCAATGACAATGCGGAAGAGAATGAGGTTGATGAGAGGGAGGCAGATTGCGTTGTACAGCTGCGCTTTGACGATAGTCTTCTGTCCCTTTCGCAGCTCACAGCCGCGTCGGCAAGCACGGTTGATGCGGCAGAGAATTTATAGTTGAGAAGGGGGATTTCCTCTCCTCTTTTTTTCTCCGAGTAGCCGATGCTTTTTTCTCTCTTTATGTGTGTGTTTACCCGTCAATGTCCCCCCTCCCCCCTTTTTTTTCTTTTTGCACTGCTAGATGTGGCGTGTCTCTTTCCTTTGAGCATCATGTTTTGCGGCGACACTTGCCCTTTTCTTCTTACTTTTTATTTTATTTTCATGGGTCCTCCAATTTAACACGGCGGCTCCTAATTATTTTTGTTTATGCACTTTTTTGCGGAGGCAACCACCGTAAAAACAACAACAACAGCACATGTACACATACATGCGTTTCCCTTCTGTTTCTCTCTTTGCTTCATTGTATGAGTTTATTTGGATTGCTCATTTTACATGCGTGACCGTGTGCAAAAACATTTGGTTGCGCAGACGTCTATAGCCGTGTGTTTAAATATACACATGTTTGCCTTTACTCATTAGGCTTAGCACCAGTGTGTGTGTGTGCAGCCGTGATGATGATGACGATGACTGGCCGTGTGCTGCTGGTGCGTGCCCTCCGCGTGCTTTGGTGCGGTGTCAGCGGTGGCTACGCGCTGTTTTTTAACGATGAGTTACACGCATATTATTATGGAGCAAACGGTAAATACTGTAAAGCCTTTCCCGACGTTTTTTTGCAGTAAAACAACTGAGGTGACGCCTCCACAAAATGCAGCGGGAGGCTCTGTCGCAGGGGGGAATGCCGAGTCGGGAGAGGAGGCGAGTGCTCAATCAATTGCTGGTCTGGGAGGGGAAGGAAGCGGTGAACCGAGTGACGATGGTTCTGCTGGGAGGCTGGCCCACGGCTCGGAGGGAAGTGGCTCGGGTCGTTCGAAGGAAGATGAAGGTAAAGCAGAGGAATTAAACCAGCAGGGAGGAGCGCCTCCGTCACCACTGCCACTAGCACCAACAGGGCCGATAAATTTGCCGAGGTCAGCGGAACCCGGTGAACCAGCGACCTCCGGTGTGACAACAGAAACACAATCGGCGCAGCAGCAGCAGTCACAGTTGCCGGCGGCAGGAAACCAAGGCGTTACGGGCGACGGTTCGCCAGAGCCAGGAACGGCAGCCGCATCAGGTGCCACGCGGAGCACACCAGCATGGGGTGACGCTGAGCCAACATCCCCATCCCCAGGCGGCCAGGCTGCTGCCAGCGGTCCGGGCGAAAACTCCGCAGCGGAGGGGACTCCCAACGGCACCCCGCCGTCTGCTGCCGCGGTGACGCACGACAACAATACCAACACCACCGACACGGCCACCAGCGAGAGAAATTCTACGGCGGCAGGCATGCTGGCTCCACTTTCCTCTGCGCCCAGAACGAAGGCGCTGGAGAGCGGCGTCGGAAATGACGCCTGCTTCCATGACACCCGTCTGCATGCCCCGCTGCTGCTCGCTCTGGCTGCGCTTGCGTACGCCGCTCTGGGCTGAGAATTCTGTGTGGGCTGTGCGTGCCAGCACTCAGCCGCGGGGACTTGTGCGCGTCTATTGTTTTCCTAAGTAATAAATACGAAAAAAATGATGATTGTGTTTTACTGTTTTTATTTGCATTCGCTGCCCTGCCGTGTGCTCCTTGCCGCTCCCCGCATCCATCACGTTGAACGCATCCCAGACACACTCATGTGCATGGCACGCACACAACTGTTTGCGTGGAATCACGTTTGAGGATGGGTGCGTGCGCGCTGGAGCCATACTGTGCAGCCCTTTGTTTTGTGTTTTTTTATGTTTTACTTCATTGCTGTTCTTTTACCTGTGTTTTGTTTCTAATCGTTTTGTGTTTTTTTCTGCTTACTTGCTGCGGGGCGTTGTGTGTTTTTGCCCTTCACTGGTTTCAACTGTCTCATGGTGTGTGTGCGCTGCCGCTGCTGGGCTGCTGCCATTTGTGACTGTGCGGTGGCTGTGCGTGGTGTAGCGGCGTGTCTCTCCTTTTGCCTCCGCTCTGCGTTGACGTGTTGTTAGTTTGTGCTTAAAGCTACACGCAAGTGACAGGAGTGATGGCGATGATGATGGCTGGCCGTGTGCTGCTGGTGTGTGCCCTCTGCGTGCTGTGGTGCGGTGCCTGCGGTGGCTACGCGTGGGATTTTAATGATACGTTGAATAAATATTATTACGGAGCAAACGGCACGTACTGCAGGCTCAACAGCAACTTCTCTTTTTGCAACAAAAAAGGAGATCCAAGTAAAGGCGAAGAAGCCGCCTCACATAAGAGTAACGCTCAGAGCGGGACTGGGAGTGACCAATCAAATGCCGATGGTTCCTCTGGGGGGCAGGGTCGCGGTTCGGAGGGAAATGATTTTCGTGGACCGGGAGGAGACTCCGGTACAAAAGAATTAAAAAATTCTGTAGGGGGAGAAACAACGCCAACACAACAATCACCATCAGCAACACAACCATCAACGGTATCGGAAGATTTGCCGAAGCCAGCGGCACCGGGTGGACCAGAAGCCCCCGGCACGACGACAGAACTACAACCACCGCCGCAGTCACCGTTGCCGGCGGGAGGAACACCAACACCAACAACAGCAACACCGACTGCCGATGGTTCTTCTGGGGGGCGGGACAACAGTTCGGAGAAAAATGGTTCGGATGAATCGGAAGAAACAGACGAAGGCCCACAGGAGTCACAACCGCCGAATGCGAACGTAACAGAAACACCAACACCAGCAACAGTCACCGCCGCTCAAACAAGTGCCACGAGGACGCCTGACGAGAGTGACGGCAGCACCGCGGCCTCCCACACCACCTCCCCTCTTCTGCTTTTTCTTGTTGCGTGTGCGGCTGCTGCTGCGGTGGTGGCCGCGTGAGAGTGAGGGAGAGAGAGCCGTGCACCGCCCGCACACACACTCGTCCTTCTCTCTCTGTGTGTGTCCCCTTGCATGGACTCTCGCCCCTACCTCAGCCTAATAAGCACACACATAATGTGTTCACGTATTTATGAATGCACACCCATGCAGGCCCGTTGGTTCTCTCTTTTGAGCCACACGCACCGCTGCCGTCCTGCCTGGCTGCATGGTGGAGCACCGTAACATTTTTTACTTTTTACTTTTCATTGCATTGAGTGGGCGACCTCTTTCTCTCCCTGTGTGTGTGTTTTGCTTTACGGGAGCAATGAGAGTGTGTGTGCTTCGGTCGTCCCACGCTTCGGCTTCTTGTTTTTTTCTTTTTCTTTTTTTTTTTGTTTTCTTCTTGTTTTCTTCTTTGAGTCTCTGCTCGTGTTGTGGTTGAGTGCACTCATTCCACCCTTTTATCAGTGGCTTGCATTGACTGCGGGCGTTTAAATCTCCTCTGCGTGTTCTCATACCGTTTCTTTCTTTTTGTAGAGGTGTCAGCCTCTTGCATCCTCGTCAGGCCATTACGTTTTTTCTTCCACATGCGCCATGCGTCGGTTGATCCACGTCGCCCCGCGGCCTGCAGTGCTGCTGCTTGTGATGATGCCTGCGATGTGAATTGCCGGCGGGTGTCCTGCTGTCATCCTGACGTATCCCTGTTTCCCTGACGATGCGGTGCGTGCCGACGGCGTGTGGGCGTCCCCGGGTGTGGTGGGAGACGTGCCTCTCGGAGCGCAGGATGCGTTGCAGGTGTGCAGCGTCGTTTGGAGGGACCGATGGGTGCCTGTCCGCACCAAGGCGCCAACAACGGACCCGTGTGGCAGCAGGAGGCACTGCGGCTTCTCCTGGTGTTGCACAGCGAATGCATTGGACGGCGCGTTTGGCTGCGGGAATGGTGTTGTGTCGTCTGCGCACGGGAACGCTGTTGCCGAGGAGGTTGTCCCTGCTGCTGTCAAACTGCATGCGGATCGTCTGCTCGTGCAGCCACTGGAGGGTTCGTTGGTTGTGCCGTCACTCGCCACTGGCAGTGTTTGCGGTCGGTTCACTGTGCCTGCTGAGCATTGTTCCGCTGGTGCTGCCAATTCTGACACAGTGCTGTACGTGGCTGCTGCGCCGGGTGGTGTGTGGGCACTGCGGTGCGCCACGCTGGAGGATGGCCGTCCCGTCGCTGGCGCCATGAACATTGTCCGGCCGCTTTGTTTCACGGACGCCTCGCCACCCGCCTCGCCGCGCACCTGATGGCCCATGCTGTCGGGTTTGCCTGCCCGCACATGGCAGGCCGCGGCATGGTGAGGAATGCTGCCTGTGTGCGTGGCGGGGCGCTGTTGGTGGTGGTGCACTCGACGACTGCCGCGATGGCAGCGAGGGAGCACCACGACTGCGATGACGTTGATGGCGTGGAGCAGCAGGATGGCGATGGGGACGGGAGGACGCTGGAGTCGCACCGGTCGCGGTGCCACGCGAGGGATGAGTGGATGGCAGCGATTGGGGTGCCGGCGACTGCACGGAGCTGACGCTGGCCGCATTGGCTGTCCTGGGCTGCATGAGGGTGAAGCGGGAGATGGCGGAGCCGATGCGTTGGTGCAGTAGTCGTGCCGTGCGCTGCAGCAGCAGAGGAATTGCTCCGCACTGAACATGAGTGAATATCTTCGCATGCTGTGCGAATTGGACGTTCCCGTCGAATGCTGCGCGTCGGATCTGTATTCCAGTGGCTGGTGTTTGGGAGTGTGCATAAAATGTCAGCAAAGCGCCCGATGGACAGCTGCCCCATCATTGATCCCGCACTGGATGTGAGGGATGCTGACGGTGTTATTTGGCGGGGAGAATGTTTGTTTGCGATGCCCGGGGATAGACCCTCTTCGTGGTGTCCGGACACGCTTCCCACGAACACGACAGATGCGAGGGACCCGGAGGAGACGTATATGAGTGCTGCCATGCATGCGGCATTGGGGTGCCTTGTCATGCAGGTGCGTCTTAGAGTGGTCGAAAAGGGCGGCGTCCGTTGGGTCCCATGCACGGACGGGGCGACGATTGCGTGGGCCACTCGACCGCATGATGAGGGAAGCGTTGCTTGCCGTGACCACGCGCAGGTGTGCACGATATCCGCCACCGCCGGCACTTTCCTTCCGGTGGCCTTGTGGGACGGCGAGGAGAGGGTGTGGAGCAGGACGGTCCCACCGGCAATTACTGGACAAGGATTGCGAGGGGGCATCCGTCCCCGTTGCGGAGAGCATTGATCCCGGCCGCGGCACCCCACCGAAGGATGTCGACTCGGCTGCACCCCAGAAGAATCCGTCGCCCGAGGAGAGGCAGTCGCCCCAGATGCTCCGACAGGCGACGGGGTGATCTCGCCCAGCGACACCGCGGGTGCGCTGCAGGAGGCTTTGAAGAAGAGCGGTCTTCCGTGCAACGACGATGTTGCCGCCGATGGTGTGGCGTCTGTTGTGGGACAACCAGCAGGAGATGAGGCCGCCAGCGACGGGGCCGGTGGCGGTGCCACAACCACGGGACCCAAGGGCCCTGATGCCGCGCAGGGCGCCGTGGACCCTCCGCGGAGCGATGATGATGCGGCGGTGGGGCGCGGGGATTGGGAGAGGGACCTGACGGACGCCCCGCCTCCGATCCACGGCAATGACGCTGCTGCAGCAGCTTGTCCCTGTCCGCTGCTTCTTCTGCTTGCCGCTGCCGCCGCCGTGACACCACTCTGCTGAGCGGCGGCATGGGTTCCGTTGCACGGCGATGCGACTGCTGTTGCTTCCTGCGTGGCCCGCACTCAGCAGTGGATGCAAGAGAGAAACAATCCATGCCAATTGATATGCCTCGCTCTATATATACTTTCTGTTTGTCTGTACACTTTATGCCAGGGACATGCTCTATACACTCTGCCTCTCCTGTGCTGGCTGCCGATGTCGAGGCATCGCGCACCTTTTTTCTTTTTGATGGTTTACGAGTACCAGTCTGCTTGACTTCTTCTGAGGAATGCCGTGAGGGCGTTTGTGTGCGTGTGCGAGGGCCCCGTGTGGGCTGCGATTTCTCATTATTGTTTATTTATTTGCCTTGGCTTTGTGTAATGATCCTTCGCCTCTCCTATTGTGTGTGTTGTGTGATGGGCGGTAAATGAAGTGTGTGGACGAGCCGAAGAATAGGTGCTTGTGACCAGGATGCTTGCGACGAGGGCTGGCTGCCTAAATTAATATGCATCCTGATAAAACGAAGACATTTCTGTGCGGTATTTTTTCACTGTCTTGTGGTGGATTGGACGACCGCGATGGACGCAATCAGGGTGCCGATGGCGGTAGGACAAAATTATTTATTTATTATTGATTTTACCTTCACAGCCAACCCCTTTTGATTTCCCACCACGCGGCGGTGTCTTGTGGCTGCAGGACTACGAAGTCTGCCGCCTCGTATGTCATAGTGTTTCTAACCCCAACAACGCGCAGCATGTCACGAGAGTGGCAGTCCGAATATGTATATAAATGTAATATATGTGGTTGGAGCAAGCACTGAGTGGATTGCGAACCCGCTGCCCCTCCGTTCGCCCCTTCTTCTGTTTTGCTTGGTTTCTTTAGACACGTTGAGGGTCCGGCGAGCGGCCCAGGCGAATATCCGCTGGTGTTTTATTTTGTTGGAGGCAAGATGTCTCCGTGGGACGGCGGGGCGGTGGAGTGTGGCGCTGAGCTGGCGCAGCGGACCGTCGGCACTACGAGTGGAATCGTCGTGGTGTGTGCAGCGGGGCTTGCACTCCGTTGGCTGCTGCTGCTGGGGAAGGGGCGTTGCGCGTTTGGTTTGCAGCTCTTGGGGCTTTTGTGGGAGAAGGTGGGAGGCTGAGGGCATGAGGACTGAATTGTTTTGAGTGGCAGCGCTCCGTTGACTTGCGGCCAGTCGTGGCACTCCTTTGGGGTTTGGCAGCCTGTCTCGTTTGTTTACTTCCCACTGCAGGACGTGGGTAACACTGCTCCGAAGAGCACTTGTTTAGACGGGTGGGAGCTGCTGCCGTGCGTGGTGCGTGGACTATTTGATTGTGTGGGGAGGTGCATGGAGTGACGAATACTTCTGTTTGGCGTGTCGCGGTGTGTTGGAATGATGGTTGGAAAACATGTGAGGGGTTTTGTGTGTAGTTTGTGTGTCTTCTCTGGTGGAGCCGACATGTGTGCGGGGATTGTGGCATTGCTGGCTGACAGCTCCACGTCACTCTTCAGCATTTCTGGATGTGCTGAGGAATGACGGCTGGCGACCAGCGTGTTGGTGCTGCTGGTGGGAATAAGTGCATCGGGAATAGGCCGTTTTCTCTTTTCCGTGATGGAGCCGATGAACTGGCACGAGGGCACCGGCTGCAGGCTGCCTGCCAGCACGTGTGAGCAGCGGATCCATGCACACACCGACGCTCGTCGCAAGAGCTTGTGCGATCACGGTGGCTTTTGTGGCGTGCCTTTATGGGCGCCATCCCGTCGGAGAATGTGTGAAGCAAACGGCTGACTGAGCACGAGGAAAATGAGTGCGTGCACTGTGCCGTGTTTCAGCGTCGATGGCAGAGCGGTAAAAGCCCGTGCTGGCAACTGAGATCTTTGCGTGGCGAGGGATGTCGGTGTTGATTTTGGATTGTCGAGGGTGAAATGAATTTGCTGCTGCCCGTGTGTGTGGCCACTCCGGCGGAGGGCGAAAACAACAGGGAGGGATGCAGGCGCTGCGTGTGTGTGTGCAGGTGCCATGCAACAACGTCACAACAAACATGCTGCGACTCGGCAACCCTCACATCGTTGTGGTCCTCACGAACAGCCGAGGCACGGCCCACATCGATGCACTTAGTGGACGGAGTGAGGCATCTTTTGAGGCGCTGCAGGGAGCAGGATGTGTTGACGCGGCCACGACGTGCATGGAGTGTCACGATGGCACAGTGAGCTGTGGCTGGTGGAATATTTACTTCTCGGAGGCAACAGAGAGAGAGAGAGCTGCTCCTGCTGCTGGCGTCGTTGCTGCCTTTTGTGGCCTCCCATGCCGATTATTGTCTGCCCGCTGATCATGGGTGGCATGCCTCCACTAGTGACGTCGTCTGCAGGCATTTCACAGCGCCAGTGAAACGCACATCATGTCGCATGCTTTGGCTGTGGGTATGGTGTCGTGAATGCAGCCGGCATTATATTGCCCGACTCCTTTTCACTGCTTTGCGACAAATAGATGCGTCGCCGCCCGAGTCATTCACTGCAGCTCCGTGTGTTGTACTGCCAGCACAATACTCTCTTGTTGTCTGGCGCCTGGCTGACGGTCAAGCACCACTGCGTTGGGACATGCAAGGATGTGGACTGCCGCTCACGGTGTTGGGCACCGCTGTTTGGATGCGGCGGCCACACGAGCGGATGTATTGTGGCACAATGAAATGCGTGAAATACGCGGAATCACAGCGGCTGCAATAATATCGACGGTGTGGCACCACGGAATGTATGCGAGAGTGATGCATGACGAATCACGGTGGGCGGCATGCGAGGGAAGTGCACCGCGGCAGAGCGTCGCCCCGCCCTCAGCCTGCAGGGGAATGTACACCCACAAAATATATGGCCGAGGCACCACCAAACATGCATGCCCTTCTGTGCAGCAATAAATAGGAGCGAAGGTGCGCTCTGGTGCGTGGGAGTCCACTCACATGGTTTTTATTTCCACCACAATAAAGGGTGAGGAATCATGTGTCACAGCGACGAATGGAGGAAACACCTATTGCAGCACTTTACTACCGAAGAGCAGGAACAACACAAACCGAATTATTGGCTGCACCAACACAAGAAAAACCCACAAGAAGAAAAACAATTGGGCACCCTGCAGAAACCCCCACACACGACCCAGGCATAAGGGTTTACCCTCTGAAGAAGCTCACAGACATATGCAGACATCTCCCACCCTCCAAAAAGAAACACAAATAAATGGTTGCCTGCTTTATTCCATTCCCTGCGCTCATTTTTGCGTGTGCGGCTGCAGCTGCGGTGGTGGCCGCGCTTGCATGAAGTGGTGTGCGCTGAATATGAAGGAAGGCCAAAGGCGACTGAACTGTTTTTGTGATGAATATTGGCTGCGCTTCCCGTGGACCAACAATCCGCGTGGTGTACGGGGATTTTCTTTTTTAATTGTTACTTTGCTTTCGTGCTGCTGTGTGCTGCACCCTCTTGTATGTGTGTGTGCATACCCTCCGTGAGGGGTGCAGACACGACGGACCGCTCTTGCCGTATTTGCATGCGGTGGAGCCTTGTGTGCCGCTCCTGTTTGCTTCTCCCTCTTCCATCTGTGTGTTGTTGTTGCGGCAGGGCTGTGTGTGTGTGTGTGCCTGCTGCCGTGGAATGGAGTGTGTGTCGTGCGTGGTGTGCGGCGTACGGTGCGTGCCTGGCTGCTGCCCCTCTCCTTGTGTGTGTCTGCCGCACCCCTCTTTTTCCCTGTTGCTCTCCATGTCCCTCACTGTGCAGATCAGCTCCACACCACTGAACGACCACACTCACGATGATGACGACGTACCGTCTGCTGTGCGCCCTGTTGGTGCTCGCCCTGTGCTGCTGCTCGTCCGTGTGTGTGACAGCAACTGGGGAAAAGTCTCCACAAAATGCAACGGGAGGTTCTGTCACAGGGGGGAATGCCGAGTCGGGAGAGGAGGCGAGTGCTCAACCGAGTGGCGGTGATTCTGCTGGGAGGGGAAGGAAGTGGTGAACCGAGTGACGATTGTTCTGCTGGGAGGCTGGCCCACGGTTCGGGGGGAAGTGGCTCGGGTCGTTCGAAGGAAGATGAAGGTAAAGCAGAAAAATTAAACCAGCAGGGAGGAGCACCTCCGTCACCACTACCACTACCACCAGCACCAACAGGGCAGATAAATTTGCCGAATTCAGCGGAACCCGGTGAACCAGCGACCTCCGGTGTGACAACAGAACCACAATCGGCGCAGCGCAGCAGTCACAGTTGCCGGCGGCAGGAAACCAAGGCGTTACGGGCGACGGTTCGCCAGAGCCAGGAACGGCAGCCGCATCAGATGCCACGCGGAGCACACCAGCAGGGGGTGACGCTGAGCCAACATCCCCATCCCCAGGCGTCCAGGCTGCTGCCAGCGGTCCGGGTGAAAACTCCGCAGCGGAGGGGAATCCCAACGGCACCCCGCCGTCTGCTGCCGCGGTGACGCACGACGACAATACCAACACCACTGGCACGGCCACCAGCGAGGGAAATTCTACGGCGGCAGGCATGCTGGCTCCACTTTTTTCCGCGCCCACAACGAAGGCGCTGGAGAGCAGTGTGGGAAATGACGCCTGCTTCCATGACACCCGTCTGCATGCCCCGCTGCTGCTCGCTCTGGCTGCGCTTGCGTACGCCACTCTGGGCTGAGAATTGTGTGTGGGCTGTGCGTGCCAGCACTCAGCCGCGGGGACTTGTGCGCGTCTATTGTTTTCCTAAGTAATAAACACGAAAAAAATGATGATTGTGTTTTACTGTTTTTATTTGCATTCGCTGCCCTGCCGTGTGCTCCTTGCCGCTCCCCGCATCCATCACGTTGAACGCATCCCAGACACACTCATGTGCATGGCACGCACACAACATTTTGCGTGGAATCACGTTTGAGGATGGGTGCGTGCGCGCTGGGGCCATACTGTGCAGCCCTTTGTTTTGTGTTTTTTTTATGTTTTACTTCATTGCTGTTCTTTTACCTGTGTTTTGTTTCTAATCGTTTTGTGTGTATTTTTCTGCTTACTTGCTGCGGGGCGTTGTGTGTTTTTGCCCTTCACTGGTTTCAACTGTCTCATGGTGTGTGTGCGCTGCCGCTGCTGGGCTGCTGCCATTTGTGACTGTGCGGTGGCTGTGCGTGGTGTAGCGACCGTGTCTCTCCTTTTGCTTCCGCTCTGCGTTGACGTGTTGTTAGTCTGTGCTTAAAGCTACACGCAAGTGACAGGAGTGATGGCGATGATGATGGCTGGCCGTGTGCTGCTGGTGTGTGCCCTCTGCGTGCTGTGGTGCGGTGCCGGCGGTGGCTACGCGTGGGATTTCAACAACGAATCGGTGAATGAATATTATTACGGAGCAAACGGTACATACTGCAGGCTCAACAGCAGCATCTTCTCTTTTTGCGAAGAAAAAAGAAATGCAAGCAAACGCCAAGAAGCCGCTTTACCGAAGAGTACAGTTCAGAGCGGGACTGGGAGTGACCAATCGGAAGCCGGTGATTCCTCTGAGGGGCAGGACAACAGTTCGGAGAAAAATGATACGGATGATTCGAAAAAAACAGACGCAGGCCCACAGGAATCACAACCGCCGAATGCGAACGTAACAGAAACACCAACACCAGCAACAGTCACCGCCGCTCAAACAAGTGCCACGAGGACGCCTGACGAGAGTGACGGCAGCCCCGCGGCCTCCCACACCACCTCCCCTCTTCTGCTTTTTCTTATTGTGTGTGCGGCTGCTGCTGCGGTGGTGGCCGCGTGAGAGTGAGGGAGAGAGAGTCGTGCACC